ACTCTTTCCTACTTTAGTTATTTCCTTGAGATGTGAATCCATAGACAATTTAGGATTTAACATATTAAATGATTAAAAAGGACGTGCCCTTGTTGACCAATATATCTATGTTGAGGGGTAGACCCAATGATCAGTAAGAATACCAATGTATATTGGATGACAACTGATGGCCAAAAATTACTATAAGGCAAGTGGCTAAGCACGCAGGTCCACATGTCAAGTAATATGTGATTTTAAAGTCCGCATATGGATCCCACGAGAAAATGGCTAATGATTATTCTGACAGAAAAACTTCTAGTTACTAAATTCAGACACCTACCTTAGGGTGATTGTAGCATCAGAAATCAAATCCTAGAATTCTAAACAGGGAATAAAAAAACAAAAACAAGATTGTTGATAGTTAAAAACAAAACTCTTAGTGTTCTTCTAGAAGGGTGGGACTCGTTCCTTCGTTACTCAAGTGTGATGTCATTCTGCAGTTTTCCTAAGTGTTCTCCTATATGATAATTGTCAACCAGGAATAAAGTTTTCTCCTTAAGCTTATATCTAGGTTGTAAGAAGAATTAAAAACCCATAAAGTTATGTTTTGCGTAAACCTATGGTATTTCTTTGCATTCTTTTGATTCCCTATCTAGGTTGCAAAAAAATAACTAGAATATGCCTATTCTATCATATTTTTATGGTTAACCTAATCATTCCACTATGCAACAAGTAGAAGTTATAGTTCACAATAAGTTTTAACAGCATAATTGGTTAGATCATGAGTAAATGAAGACTAGAAGGTTAACCAACAAATTGGATACATAAAAAGTTTAGAAAACATTATACGGAAAAAAGTGAGAAACCACAGAAAAACTACTATCCCAACATCACAAAGGCACACAAAATACTTAATTACTCGATGAAAAAAAAAGAAACAACGCAAGAAAATCTATTGAAATCAATGATGCAAATAGTGTTACAAAAAAAAAACAAAACAAAAGCCTTAGAACCAATGTTCTCCTCTCCTACACAATAGTTGATCTCTCTCTCTTGCAAGGCTCTTTCAAAGAAAGTAAGAAACAAGAAGTAAAGAAGAAAAAGCAGCCCTTAAGGCTTCTTCCCTCAAACTAGGAAGCAGAAACCCTAAAAAACTCTCCAACTCTACAAAACCCTATCAAACTTCAACCTCCCTCCGCCCCAGATGTCCAAATCGTGCCCTAACATCTGCTCTTATATTGCTTGTTTAGGTTTAGCAAGATGAATCTTTTCAAGTGTAGAAGCGGCCTCGGTGGCCTATTCACACCATAGCCCGTCATAGTCACATTGTGCAGCTCGTGGAGTGACATAGTCACGCCTGAATAAGGCGTGTGTGTACCGGATACGGTGAAGTCACAACCAATTTTGGCATAATAATGTTGCCTTGACATAACGGGTTGGCATAATTACGCCAATTTTTGTTGTGGTTACACCGGTTCGGCTCCTATGACTTCACCGTTTTCTTGCTTCGAAATACACGTTCGAACCCCTATAACCTACAAAACACCAAAACAACATTCTCAAGCATAAAACTATGATAATTAAAGAGGAAAATGCATAATTATATGCGGGAAAATACCTAAAATTGTATCATGTCAATAACTTCAATTCAAATAAAATTAAACAACAACAACAACAACAACAACAACAAAACCTTTATCCAACTAAGTGGGGTCAGCTACATGAATCTTTAATCTCCATTTCGTCCTATTTAGTGTCATATTTTCATTTAATTCTAATAAATTAAGATCATTTTTTATACAATATGCCCAAGTCATCCTAGGTCTACCTCTGCCTTTCTTAACATAAGTCGAATCTAAAACATCTTCACTTTTAAACGAATCATCAGATGGTCGACATTTAATGTGACCAAACCATCTAAGACAACTCTCTATAATTTTGTCCGTCGCTAGAGCTACACCAACCCAATCACGGATACAATCATTTCGCATTTTGTCTCACATTTCGTCTTTAAGTTTAAATTCACTCATCCACCTAATCATTCTCATCGCGACAATACTTAACTTAATTTTATGTTTCTCTTTTAAAGGCCAACATTCAGCGCCATATAGCATTGCAAGTCTTACCACCATCTTATAAAATTTTCCATCCAGTCTAAGCGGTACTTTTCTATCACACAATAGGCCAAAAGCATTCCTTCACTTCAACCAACCAACTTAAATTCTACTAACAACACCCCCATCAATATCATCATCACTTTCAACAATAGACCCGAGATATCTAAAGAGTACACACCTTTTAATAATTTGTCAAACAAAATTAAAGGAGTCAAAAAATTGTGAACTTTCTCTATGTTCATTGCAATAGAATGGACTAAAATAAATGAGCAGAATGCCTCACCTACTGTATTAATTAATACAGCTAGCCCAAACTTTAACTTAATAAAAATTCAAGGCTAGTTTCCTTAACTTACAAAACATGATGAATAGACATAAAAGTGATAAATATGAATCACTTTTGATAACTTATGTTATAAATGTGGCAAGAGAAATGTCAATTATCATTGTAGGGTATCAACAAAGCAAAATCAAGGCACGTTTATTAGATGGCCATGTTAACTGCGACACAAAATGAGCCCAAAATGAATGCTTATATTTAATCTTTTAATATAAAAATGATTAGAGATTCAAACTTGTAAGAAGAAAAGCTAATTTATTTTTTTTATTTATTTATTGACCATCAAGCTAGTTCCAACATGAATGCTACCATTGAATTCTTTCTTAACTCATGATTTGATAATAATAGTTTAGTTGTTAACAGTACTAGAAAATAATATCCCACCAAATTATAAAAATATATTCCTTAAATTATACTAGGCACGATAAGACACATTAATGGCTATAAAAGAATAATGAAGTTACTTAACTCATCATAAAGTTCACAATATATATATATGAACTTTATTCCTGCACTGCATACTCAGATTAGTTGGTTGGGCATTCACTTGTCAGTGTTGTAAATTCTCTCTGGTCTGCGATTTGATTCCCCCCGAGTGTAAGATGTGATGCTCGAATGATAGGGACATGAGGGATAGCTGGGACTCGTATCATAACCTCCAGCCATTTCATTACTCATAAAGGAGACTAAAATCCCCCAAAATAGCTTGTGTAGTATGGAAGAGAAAACCTTTTGGCTTCCTCGTAAACTGAAGCCCCTTCGGGTAGACTTGTGAGCAAAGAAGCAAAACTGAACATCTTTGGGGACCATTTAATTCTTCTACTTTATAAAATAGAAGTCCCTCAATTCATTTTTCTAATTTTTTTCCTAAATTCTCCTTCTTAGCCTATTCTCCCACAAAAATGATTTGAGATCAAAATTAAAACTTTGAATAAAAATGCACAAAGCAAAAACACACACACACACACACAAAATGCCAAATTTAAAGTGGAAAAAAGCGAGAACAATAAAGAAACCATGTAATCACAAGAAAATTATAAAAATTACAGCACTCAAACCTCTTCAAATTTTGGCCACACGAGGTCACTCGCACTTAGGGGTGTAAACGAGCCAAACGCGAGCGAGCCATGCTCAACTCGTGTTCGGCTCGTTTATATTTCGAGCTCAGAAAGGGTGTTCGTGTTCGGCCCCCTTCACCACAAGCGCCCGA